GTATGTGGTGGTTGTTTTTATGAGTCATAGCATTTTTTTTCGAAGAGGGAGTACAAAAATGATAATAATTTTGCAAATTAAAGGAAAATATCAAAATGGATAATTCAAAAAATTCAAATAAAATTAAAAAAATAAAATATTCGATCAAAATAAAATAAAAAAATTAAATAAAAAAATAAAGTGTCGAAAAATCATCAACGAAAAAAAAAAACAACATCAAAAAATATATCTTTATTATAAAAAATGTTAATTGTTGAAAAATAATCATAGCCCTAAATTATTTTTATTTATTTCAAAAAAATACTAAAAATTGTAGATTGAGTAAAAAAATATCTCTTTTTTATAAAATATTTGTGGTCCTGAAAAGGACCGATTGTTTTGTTGTAAAATTGTTGCTTTTAAAACGTCAAGAATTTAAGCACGTTCTCCACGAATACGTCTGGCCAATTGGATATCCTTAGGCATGATGGTGACACGCTTAGCATGGATGGCGCACAAGTTAGTATCTTCGAAAAGACCAACCAAGTAGGCTTCACTGGCTTCTTGCAAGGCCATAACAGCAGAGCTCTGGAAACGCAAGTCAGTTTTGAAATCTTGAGCGATTTCACGAACCAAACGTTGGAAGGGCAATTTGCGGATCAACAATTCAGTACTCTTCTGGTAACGACGGATTTCACGCAAAGCAACTGTACCAGGACGGAAACGATGAGGCTTCTTAACACCGCCGGTGGCTGGGGCACTCTTACGGGCAGCTTTGGTAGCTAGTTGTTTACGGGGAGCCTTTCCACCGGTCGATTTACGGGCAGTTTGCTTAGTACGAGCCATTTTTCACTTGAATTTTTTTCACTTCACTAGAGATATGCACACAAACACGGTAGACACTGTAATAACGTTGCCATCGCCACGAAAACGAGTATTTATAGAAAATTGTGCTGTTAGCATCAACTTTCGGGGTTGATATGTTAGTGAATTCTTACCTATCCGTATACCAAATGTACACGCACACACAAAAGAGAACATACAATACTAACGGCAAATGTACACACACACATATAACTGTACATACTTTACTTGTGTGTTCAATAGTTGGAGAGAGCCTCAAATTTTGTATAAATACGAGCGGAATCGCCCGAAAAAAACATTAGTGCTCAAACTGTTCGTGAAGTGATAAGTGAAATAAACTAAAGTGAAAAAATGACTGGTCGTGGTAAAGGTGGTAAAGGCTTGGGAAAAGGTGGCGCTAAACGTCACAGGAAAGTGCTCCGTGATAACATCCAAGGTATTACCAAGCCAGCTATTAGACGTTTGGCTCGTCGTGGCGGTGTAAAACGTATCTCTGGCCTGATTTACGAAGAAACTCGTGGTGTTCTGAAGGTGTTTTTGGAAAACGTTATTCGTGATGCTGTCACCTACACCGAACATGCTAAGCGTAAAACCGTCACCGCTATGGATGTCGTATATGCTTTGAAGAGACAAGGCCGTACCTTGTACGGTTTCGGCGGTTAAACAAATTCTTGACGCAATTTGGAGAAATCTTTTTTACAACAAAACAATCGGTCCTTTTCAGGACCACAAAATATATCAAAAAAGAGATACTTTCTTGTTGAAAACTATTTTTTTAAATTAAAATAAATAAAAAATAAACACTTACCTTAGGAAATATAGGAATTTTATGTCAAAATTTCTAATAATTTTCTTTTTCAGCTTTCTCGTATTTTTTTTCTCACAAGTCGTGAAAAATTCAAAATAAATAAAGAAAAATATAAATACTTACTCGTTTCAATTTTCTCCAGAATATTTTCACCGAAAACATTGTTTTACCGAGGTCTCGTATTTTATTCCCTATCACAAACATGCCGTCGGCAACTCACATCGCTAAACACATTTAGTTCTTCTTCTTCTTCCTTTTCGTATAATATGAGTATAACATAGCGTCACTTTATGTATGTATTGGTGCTGTTTAGTCAATATTACTAAAGAACAACCATGATATGGTAGCAAAGGAATTTATTTTGACTTTTTTAAATATTTTTGAATCTTTTCTCAAATTTTATTTGAAATTGTTGAATATCTTTATTAAATAGATCGTTGATTCGTTGATTATCTTAAAAAATTTCATTAAAAATTTGTAAATTATTCACTAATCATTTCCTTTAAAATTTTACCGAAAATTAAAATCATTAAATTTTATTTAAAAATTCTTCATTAAATGAATTTTATTTTATTTATGTTAAATTTTCTTATTTAATTTTCAATTAATTTAATTTTTCATTACATTATTTTTTAAAAATCACATTTTCGTTTTATTTAAAATTATTATTATTATTAATTTAAAATTATTTAATTTATTTCCTTTTCATCAATTTAAAAATTTTTGATTTCATTTAAAGTATCTTTTATTTTCATAAAATGTGTTTATTATTCCAAATTTCTTTAAATTATTTTCAAATATTTTCATTTAAATTTCTTTGAAATTTCATTAATATTTGCCTTTATTTTCTGAAATTTTCTTATTTTAATTTAATTTAATTATTTTCGTTAATTTTCATTTCATTATTTTACTTTTATTCTATTTTTTGTGTTTAAAATTTTCCATAGCACCACAATGCGCTTTTATTTTCATGTATGTGTCCATTTATTTCCACCAAAACACTACTTTGCCGCCAAAATTCCCTTGCAAATCATCTACTTTATGCCTTCCCCAAAGAATGCGCCGGGGTACGATTTTTTCACATAAAATTACTACCCAGCCAGCCACCACCAACTGCCACATGCTTCTTCTTCCTCATAGTATACATACTCATTTGGTGACGCCACGATCTCTCCTCTCTCGCTCGCTCTATTCCTGAAATCATAAGAGACAACAACAACGACGACAACACAAATATCCAACTGACAACGAAAAACAGTTATTCTGCCAACGTCTCATACAAAATTATTGAGAATTTTTATTTTTTTCATACAAATGTAGCTTGACGCAATTTTCTTTCTCTTTTCAAATATTTTTTGTCGTCCTGAAAAGGACGGATTGGTTGATTTTTCTATGGAATTATACGATGGTCTGTATTCTTCTTCTTTTTCATTCCATAATACCTTTCGAAATAATTTAGGCTTTCTTTTCGGTCTTCTTGGGCAAGAGAACAGCTTGGATGTTTGGCAATACACCACCTTGGGCAATGGTAACGCCAGACAGCAATTTGTTCAATTCTTCGTCGTTACGGATGGCCAATTGCAAGTGACGGGGAATGATACGAGTCTTCTTGTTGTCACGGGCAGCATTGCCAGCCAATTCCAAGACTTCAGCAGCCAAATATTCCATGACAGCGGCTAAATAGACGGGAGCACCGGCACCAACACGCTCAGCATAGTTGCCTTTGCGCAACAGACGATGGATACGACCGACGGGGAATTGAAGACCAGCACGATTGGAACGGGACTTTGCCTTTCCCTTAACTTTGCCACCTTTACCACGACCAGACATTTTCACTTTATTTTAGTTTTGAACACTTCACTTAAGCACTGAAAAACACAAATGATAAAAATTTTCGGGCCGAAACGTGCTATTTATACTTTTCTCACACACACATTTCTTCAATAATGGGGTGGTTTGCCTTGTGTGTGCCTGCTAGCTGTGACTACCTGAAATTCTTGTCGACTACAATCTACAAATTCTGTATAGCTGGCCGTTTTGGTTATCATTTGTGAACAGTGTTAAAAGTGTTTGTGTGATTCAAAAAAAATAATAAGTGAAAATGCCTCCTAAAACCAGTGGTAAAGCAGCAAAGAAGGCCGGCAAAGCCCAAAAGAACATTACCAAGGGCGATAAGTCGAAGAGACGTACCAAGCGTAAGGAGAGTTACGCTATCTACATTTACAAAGTGTTGAAGCAAGTCCATCCCGACACCGGTATCTCCTCCAAGGCCATGAGCATCATGAACAGTTTCGTCAACGATATCTTCGAACGTATTGCCGCCGAAGCCTCTCGTTTGGCCCACTACAACAAGCGCTCGACCATCACCAGTCGGGAAATCCAGACCGCCGTCCGTCTATTGTTGCCCGGTGAATTGGCTAAGCACGCCGTCAGTGAAGGTACCAAGGCTGTTACTAAATACACCAGCTCCAAGTAAATGTCTTGATATTTTTCATTTATGCGTCGAAATACTACCTTAAAAGGCCCTTTTCAGGGCCACAAAAAACATTTCAAAAGAGATCATATTTTGTTGAAGCTACAATTTATCATTATTTAGTAATAAACGAATAAAATTCCATAGGAAATATATTTTTCTCTATACAATGATTTTTCCATGCATTTAGCTAACTCGCATATGTGCCTATGTTTAGCCATTGCTTGTGCGATATGCTATAACAGCCATCGTCGTCGTGCATGTGTGCGTGTGTTAGTGGTGATTTGCCTTGCCGTCGTTGATCAACATCGAATGGGCATCATGTATGTGTGAGCATTTTGATACAGCACAACGGCAAAGCAACGAAATATAAGGCTGAGGCAGAAATTTTCAAAGGAAAAAATGTATTGATGGAAAATGTAAATATTTTGCCAAAATGTCATTTTTGGATGAAATTCGTGAAATTTAACAGAGAATATGAAAATAGCAAATTTTTCAAAATTAAGTAGAAATTATAAAAATGACCAAATTATGGGGATTTTCGAGAATTATGACCTGTGGGTAATTAGGAAAAATTTTAAATATTTTATTATCTTTTATGACCTGGGTTAAAAAATAATCCAGTGGCGTCCACGATTATATTGGCTCAATAAAATTACCTAATAAGAACAGTAATTAGCGAAAGTAATTTTTTTCCCAAAATGAAACACGTGTACAAATTTACTTATTTATTTAGGTAACAAATATATACGATAACTGTTGAAAATAAATATTTTTCTCTTTTTTAATTTAATTTGTAGCCCTGAAAAGGGCTGTTAGATAGTATGTTTTCGAATATCGAAAATATTGTGGAAAAAGTAATCTTTCTGGGAAAAATTACTTCTTGGCGGCGGTTTTCTTAGCAGCTGGCTTCTTTGCTGCTGCGGCTTTTTTGGGCTTAGCAGCTGCAGTTTTTGCCTTGGGTGCCTTTGGTTTAGTGGCAGATGCTTTGGCGGCGGTCTTTGCTGGTTTAGCTTTAACTGTACCGGTTTTCTTGGCAGCCTTTGCCTTTGTTTTGTCGGCCTTCTTCTTTTCAGCGGTCTTCTTGGCGGCAGAGGGTTTTTTGGCAGCTGCCTTCTTCTCACCAGCGGCCTTTTTAGGGGCGGCAGCCTTCTTCTTTTTAGTCACCAGCGGCTGGGGCCTTCTTCTTCTTTTCAGCAGTCTTGGCTTTGGGTTCCTTAGAGGCCGAAGCAGACAATTTGAATGAACCAGAAGCACCCTTACCTTTAGTTTGGATCAATTTTCCACTGGCAACGGCACCTTTCAAGTACTTCTTGATGAAGGGGGCCAATTTTTGGGCATCTACTTTGTAGGTGCTGGCCAAGTATTTCTTGATGGCGGGCAATGATGAACCTCCACGTTCCTTCAGGGTCTTGATGGCGGCATCAACCATTTGCTGGGTTGGAGGGTGGGTAGGGGCAGCTGATGGCTTCTTTGCTTTGGCAGCGGCTTTTTTTGGTGCCTTTTTCTCAACAGCGGCAACTGGGGAGGCGGTGGCTTCAACAACGGCGGCGTCAGACATGGTTATTCACTGTTTGGTTTATATTTCACTGTTAACACAAATACACTCACAAATTTATGTGTACTATTATTTTTGTTAGCGGCGAGCTAAAGTGTAGGTACATCGAAAAGATGAGATGTGCATAGTAGTCAATTGGTAAATTTTTCGAAAGATTGTGTGGAAGCGTGTTTAATTTTTTACAAAAGTTTTCGGAGAAATTAAATTTTCCTGAAGAAGCTTTGATAATTTTCACTAAAAATGTTTTATACCTTTAAAGTATAGATTTCAGGCTATGTTTTAAAGAAAGTTTGGTGTAATTATCACTTGCCGTTTGTGAATTATAAACGTTTAACTTGGCAGATTATAAAAATGTAATCACAAATTTCCAACTAAAATTTAAAAAAATCAAATTTTTTATGAAAATTTAATTGAAAATTCTTTTTGAAAATGTAGCCTGATATGTTTACTTTAGGATCAAAGAAAAATATCGATGAAATTTCATATTTTACTATGTGAAAAAATTGAAATTATTATGTGGTCTATGACAGCAGAAATCCTCTTGTTGGCATAATTTCAATGAAGAAAAGTTTTTCTTGAAATAAATTTGAAAGCTCAAATCTTAATAAGTTTTATAAAAATTTCTTAAAAAACATTTCAGAATTTGTATATTTACATCAAAATATAACATTATTCACAAAAAGTCATAATTTACGGGGAAAAGTTACAAAATCCCCAGAATACTTCATACTACCAATGTACAGGCATTCAGTGACAAACGGTTATGTATTTTCATTTTGCAATATTTTTTATGAAATTTAACATAATTTGTTCTAAAATTTATTAAAAATAGTATTAGAAGCCATTTTCTACGTCATTTTGTCAAATTTTTGATAATTTTATGAAAAAATATTCCCAAAAAGAAATTCCTCTTTACAGGCAAATATCACCTAGAACACTTGGAAATGACATGAAATTAATTGCGTTTTACAAAATGATTTTCGATCAACTTCAAAGGTAGATATTATTGGAATTCCTTTTTATAATACTTTTAATTATATTTTACATCAAAATTATCAACAAATCAATTATTTTCTTCTTCAATTTTTGAAAATAATAAATTATTACCAATTTCTTCAAATACATCGGGCAAAAATAATTTTGTAAATCCATACGGAGAAAATTCATAATCAAATCTCTTAAAATGCGTTTAAAACATTTAAAAATGTTGCTGAAAAGGAATAAAACATATTTCATACATCATTCCTGAAAAAAATTAAATACGTGGGGCACATTTTAGCTGGAAATTTTTAAAATGCACATGAAATAATTCTTAGAAATTAAAGGCAGAGAATTTTTTCCCGTTAAATTGAATAGTCCACAACAGAAAAAAATGATCGAAGGGGAATAAAATGAGAGAAATAGACAAATTTCGCGCCAAAAATCATAAAGAGAGCAATTTTTTGTTTAACGGGAAAAGGAAAAAAACAAAATGGACAAAAAAAAATCCCGTTAGCAAAATGTATGTGGTGGTTGTTTTTATGAGTCATAGCATTTTTTTTCGAAGAGGGAGTACAAAAATGATAATAATTTTGCAAATTAAAGGAAAATATCAAAATGGATAATTCAAAAAATTCAAATAAAATTAAAAAAATAAAATATTCGATCAAAATAAAATAAAAAAATTAAATAAAAAATAAAGTGTCGAAAAATCATCAACGAAAAAAAAAAACAACATCAAAAAATATATCTTTATTATAAAAAATGTTAATTGTTGAAAAATAATCATAGCCCTAAATTATTTTTATTTATTTCAAAAAAATACTAAAAATTGTAGATTGAGTAAAAAAATATCTCTTTTTTATAAAATATTTGTGGTCCTGAAAAGGACCGATTGTTTTGTTGTAAAATTGTTGCTTTTAAAACGTCAAGAATTTAAGCACGTTCTCCACGAATACGTCTGGCCAATTGGATATCCTTAGGCATGATGGTGACACGCTTAGCATGGATGGCGCACAAGTTAGTATCTTCGAAAAGACCAACCAAGTAGGCTTCACTGGCTTCTTGCAAGGCCATAACAGCAGAGCTCTGGAAACGCAAGTCAGTTTTGAAATCTTGAGCGATTTCACGAACCAAACGTTGGAAGGGCAATTTGCGGATCAACAATTCAGTACTCTTCTGGTAACGACGGATTTCACGCAAAGCAACTGTACCAGGACGGAAACGATGAGGCTTCTTAACACCGCCGGTGGCTGGGGCACTCTTACGGGCAGCTTTGGTAGCTAGTTGTTTACGGGGAGCCTTTCCACCGGTCGATTTACGGGCAGTTTGCTTAGTACGAGCCATTTTTCACTTGAATTTTTTTCACTTCACTAGAGATATGCACACAAACACGGTAGACACTGTAATAACGTTGCCATCGCATATTGCATATTTATTTTCCCAAATAATTTAGTTACAAAATTGAACTTAAAATTCTAAGAATTATAATAATAGTTTTCCTAACAGTATTTAAACTTTTTCTAGGAATATAATATATAAGTATTAATTTGAGGTAGGTCAGCCCATTTGTGTTTTAAACTTTGACTTTGTCATAGGATTATTTGTAATTTTAACAAGAAAGGGAAGAAAACTTGTTAATCATTTATAATGAGTACTTATAACTAAAATAAAATACTTAAACATACAAAACAAAAACAAAACAAACAAAACAAAACAAAACTGAATTCAGATACTTAAAATAAATAAAAATAAAATAAATAAAACTTAAAAAACTACTATTTACAATATATACAAAATTTTTACAAAATTTTTATAATTTAATATTAATATTGTTCAGTTCTATATACAAGGTTTTCAATATTGTATGTTCCATATCTTCTGTTGTAAAAGATTATTTTTTCATTGCTATCGAATAATAAATTGTGAGTTTCTAAGTAGGTTAGACACATAGGTGACAAATAGCCATCATTTTGTAAATATCTTATGAAACATTCTTCGCTTATTACTCCATTTAGAATGATTGAGTTATTGCAATTATTGCAACTATTTATGAATTTAAGTCCTATCTTGGTCATGAATTTATCAATTCTATCCAGCTTGCTGGTGTTATATAGATTATTTAATGATGGTGATCGGAATCTTCCATCATCAGTTCTTTCTGCCCTCATATTTAGGCAGTATGCCAACATTTTTCGTTCAAAAACCCTAATTTTTTCCATCTGACTAGAAGATATGCTGAACCAAATTGGGAATGCATAGGATATGATTGGTCTTAATAGCTGTTTATAGATACACATTTTTATGTCCCTGCTAAGCCCTCTTTTTGAACTTAGAACATAATGCAATTTTTGAAAAGCTACTTTTACTTTTTGAAGTATGTACTCAACGTGCTTATTAAATGAGTAGTTTTCTTCAAAGAACACTCCCAGATATTTGATTTCAGACACGTTTTCAATTATATTGTTATCTATTTTTATTTTAGGTGAAAATTTTCTACAATTTTTATAAAGCCTTGTTTTCTTTCCTTTAATTATAATAGACTTACACTTACTTATATTAAGTCTTAATTTCCATTTTTTAAAATAATCATTTAATATTACCAGATAATCATTAAGTTTTTGCTGTGCAATTTTCGCTCTTGGGTGAGTGGCCGCTATCAGAATATCGTCTGCAAAGGTCAGAACTAGCAATTCATTTTCAGGCTGGGGTAAATCTGCCAGGTATAAATTATATAAAACCGGACCAAGTACCGATCCTTGGGGAACGCCGGCTTTTATATTATATGTGGAGGAGTGGGATTTTTCAACATTTACAGTAAATGTTCTACCATTTAAATAATTACTAGTGAGCCTTACTAAAGACCTGTGGAAATTATAATTAGCTTCCATTTTACTTATAATGCCTTTTTGCCACACAGTGTCAAAAGCTTGTTCAAAATCGAGGCTTACTGCAATTGTGGCACTTCTCTTATTGAAACCGCTAGATATCTGATTTGAAAATGCTAGAAGAGCATGTGAAGTTGACAATCTCTTACGAAATCCAAATTGGAAATCTTTAAGCAAATTATTTTCATCAATGTGTAAATTAATCCTTTCCAAAATGAGAATTTCAAATAGTTTGCCCAAATTTGACAATAGAGATATTGACCTATAACTACAAGGGGAAGTTGGGTCTTTTCCCGGCTTTAAAATAGGTATTACCATTGCGTGTTTCCACTTATTTGGGAAATACCCTAAATTAAGACATTGATTAAATAATATGGCAAGTTCTTTCCATAATCTACTGTCGATTTTTTGAATTATAAAATTCGGAATTCCGTCAACCCCGCTGCTCTTTTTCTTTTTTAATCTGTTTATAGCGATCCCTATATCATCAATCTTAAAAAGTTTTAGATTCCCATTCTCAGCGCCGTTTCCATCAGCAGTAACCCCATTTCCAAATGTAACCATAGACTCATTCTCCATATGAGGAGGGAATGAGTCATTAAAGTTACTCTGAATCTTGGAGTACTGCTCTGCTATTAGATTTGCTTTTTCTTTACTATCATGAATTATTTCATTTTGTTCGTTTAGTAATTGGGAAATTTTGGTTCTTTGAGTCGAGCTGAATTTTTTAACTTTTTTATACATGTCGCCATTTTTTGTTATGCTGTTTAGTCTACTTTCATAATAATTTTCCTCAAATATTTTGATTTTTTCTTGGATTATTTTATCCAGTCTTTGTATAATAGATGTTAGAGTAATATATTCATTTCTATCCAGAATTCTATACCTTCTTCTCCTCAGATTTTTCTTTTGTTTTATCAATAACATAATATCCTGTGGAAGCTGTACCATCATTCCATATTTTGGTCTATATTTTACCATACTTTCGTTCATTGCTGTAACTAGAATATTTGTTAAGGTTTCAACTTCTGCATCAATTTCATCAATTGTTGCATTTCTATTGACTGGGAGACTGAGTCTGCTCTTTTGGTCATCTATAGTGTTGTTAAATAAATTTCTGTTAAATGATTTAAAATCAAAGAACTCTTCATCCGTTCTTTTTTCAATAGTAATTGTTTTTATATTGATCA